AATAATGAAACCACACTTGGGGTTTCATTTACAGCTCTATTCTTGATGTACAGCACCTCTGACTGCATTTAACTGTGTATTTCTCCCAAATTAAAATCTTGCTCTGAAATCTGAGTTCCAGCCTCCCTCTAGCTTCCAGTCCATTCATTCATTGCCTGCTGGCAAAGAACTGCAGGAGAAGTTCTGTCTCCTTCATATCACTTACAGAYGTAATGACTACTTTGCTGGCAATTTTAGTGGCTTGGAGTCAAAAGTAAAGCACAGATACATTTGATCAGTTTCAGACCAGGGAATGAACACTCAGAATAAAGATTCAAATTAGTATTCAGCTAGCTGCAGCAATTGCTCTGGTCTCTGACCAAATGGTCAGATAAATGCTTTTCTTCCCCAGAATCCCTTCTTTTCAAGTCACATCATAGAATCACAGAATTATAGAATATCCCAAGTTGGAAGGGACCCACAGGATCATTGAAGTGCAAGTCCTGGCCCCGCACAGGACACCTCAAGAATCACACAATGTGTCTGAGATATTGTCCAAATGCTCCCTGAACTATGTCAATTTGGGTGCTGTGACCACTTCCCTGGGGAGCCYGTCCCAACCTCTGGGTGAAGAACCTTTTTATAATGTCTAACYTAAACCTCTCCTGACACAGCTTCRTGYYATTMCCTTGGATCCTGGTCACCAGACAGTAGAGGTCTGCACCTGCCCCCCARTTTTCCCTCMTGAGGAAGCTGTAGACTGCTATGAGGTCTCCCCTYAGTCYYCTCTTCTCCAGGCTGAACAGGCCAAGAAACCTCAGCCACTCCTCRTACAGTTTCCCCTCTAGGTCCTTCMCCTTGGAGCCTCCTTTGGATGCTCTCTAATGGCTTTGTACCTTTCATATRCTGTGGTGCCCACACAGGGTTTGAGATGAGGCCATCCCAGAGCACAGCAGAGCAGGACAATCCCCTCCYTTGCCCRGCTGGTGATGCTGTGCCCRATGCACCCCAGGACACAGCTGGCCCTCCTGGCTGCCTCATATTCAACTTGCCATCACCAGGACCTTCATGTCCCTTTCTGCAGTGCCACTCTGTAGAGTTTCATTCCTGTCTGTACAAATATCCAGGGCTGTCCAGCCCCAAATGCAAAATCCAGCACTTGCCCTTGATTGCCCAGACTGATGTCACCTCATTCATYGTAACCCTTTGCACTCAACCCATGAGCCAGMTGCTCAMCCTACACATGACGTGTTAATCATATTTAAGACAAGTTCCAGCGTTTTCTCCTRTAAGTGTTTTTCCTGCTGCAAGTCAACATTAAGACAACAGAAAAGACAATATACAACACAGGAGATCTGCATTTAAGGCAAACATTAACACTAAGCCAGACTCCAATGTGTTCCCTCACACAGAATAGTACTTTAATCAAGCAGTASTTCCATTAAAGCCCATGGGATTACTCCTGCAGTATGGTGCTTTTCAAAAGGGATCATCACTAGGCTGCAGCTTCGAGAAGTAACACTGTGGTTGCACGGAGGGTGCAAACAAGCTTTTACTACCTAGGATTTCCTAATTAGTCCTAATAATGGTTTGATTATGACTGATTGCATTTCTTCTCATTGGCAGAGTAGAAAAGAACTATTTCAATTGGTTTTGAAAATGAGTGAATTTAATCACAATATTGCAGAATACTTCTTATTTACAGAATATTTAATTTTGTGCTAAACCCAAAGGTTTTAGCCAGGATTCATGTACTCTTGCTACAGAGCCCTCTTGCTTTGAGGGAGCTTGTTCCCATAGGAACACGGTCACACTGGCCACATGGAGACAGCTAAAATATTTCCAAAATCAGCCAGCAGAATAATTCTGCTATGTATTCCTTCTACCGCTCTAGTTTGAGAGCATGTATTATGTCCTATTTTATCTATTTGGAATTACATGCTCACAGGGAAAAATGAAATATGTATATACATACATATATATATATATATATATATACACATGCCAAAACACACACATGGAGAACCAAAATCTTGTTAATTCTCTTTGGTGTGTATCTGAACTATACCCTTTTCATTTTCTTTTTCCTGAGGGACTGGCCCAAAAAACGGCGATCTCCAAGATATTGTGGTAAATTAGAAGTAAATAATTCATTTTTACTTTGGAAGAAGGAATTACCAGTGTGTCAAACATCCYAACAGAGCCACCTGCAGATGCACCAAGTATGTACCAAATGCCATGCTAGGAGAGCTRTACCCTCCTGCTACATTGCTATTTCTTTTCGTTTCCTTTCTGGCCCCTAAATAAGTTTTATTTTGTTGTAAGTTTTAGGATGGACCTGACAGACTCTTTCCAGCTCTTTTTTTCTTCACATCTTAATAGATTTACCCTTTCCTTGGGTCTCAAGGAAGCTTGAATTTTAGTTTTTCAAGTTGAATGCCACCTCTCTTTTCCCTTAATTTCTTCTGCATTTGAATGCCTCATTTATTTAACAGCCTCACTGATCTCAACATGAAAACTATTACACCAAGGTGCTATTCAATTTGAACAGAGAAAGCAAAGGAATTTGGATCTGTCTTGCCAGGAGATTGCCTTTTTATTTATGTAATTTCCATTTGTTGCTTACAAAACTTTCCTGCCAAAACATTCAGAGCACAAATGTCTCCTGTTTAGAYCAATTTTTAGCAGCTTTAATTGCTATCAAACTATGTAAAACATGTATGTGGCAAGTTGTGGTTATTTGGGGTAGGATTGAGCTGCTGTTTTCCTCTGCAATGGCAGGAAGACATCCCCACTCCACAGGCAGCCCCCCTGTCCTGGCAGACTCCACCATGGACCTGGGGCACCTTGGGCCAYTCCTCTGGAGTTAAAYTTGCTGTTCCTCGAGAGARTGGCTGGACTCCCTCSACTTGCACCATGAAGGCAAACAGGAGGATTTGGGAAGTGAACACAGCAGCCCCATATGAGCACCACAGCCATGGCCCAGGGCTGCAGGGAGCCATGAAACACCTCTGTAGTCTGTGATGAGAAGCCTGGAACTTGACCTAGCTGTGATGAGAATGGCATCTGTGCACACGCCAGATCAGAGGTGCACAGCCTTTGGCAGCTCAGAAGTCTGGGGAGAGAGAAGCTGCCATCATCCTCCTCCCACCCAGCCCCCATATTCCCCTGCCCCCAAAGTCACTGCCATTTCACCTTCCTTCTCAGGAGCCCAGTCACTTGTGCCAGCTTTTCTGACCGCTGTGGAACAGAGACAGAGCTGACCTGGCTGGGTTTTATCATGTTGGAAATTTGCCAGTGGCAAATATTTAGCTGGGAATATTGCACAGGGGATCCAGGCAGGATCTGTGCCCTATCCTAGGGGTATGGCACAGTGGCTGCAGACCCTTCGGACTCCCATCCAGGTGGCCCAAGGTGACAGACCACAAAGATGAAGGTACAGGTTTTATTTCTCCCCTCTGGTTGCAAGCTTTGCACACCAGCCTGCAATGACCACTACCCACGGAGGTTCCAAAGTTAAAATGACTCTGAAACACTCCCTGAAATTTTGAAATGAACCAAGTGTGGTGCTTATGGGATATCATGTTGCCTGCAGACCAGAAAATGMCACAAAGCTGAACACAAAAGCCCAGAAGTTTTGCCATCAGAAATTTTCCATTTTCTTCCTGCACTCCCTTTAGAGTCACACTTCTTGAATACTTTCAAGAGGAGAAAAAAAAATCCTTTGAATATTTTTTTTTCCTTTTTCTTGGATGTTAAACATTTCCAGTCAAGCTGAACTTGTAGGAGAGTCTCTGAAACACTCCACCAGCATGTCCCTCTGGGAACTTTAGATTCTATTTATTTAGTGTTTTTACTCACTGAAGACCGTGTCTGAGAAGGTGTCAACAGTGTTTTCCTGTTCATCCAGCTCCTTGGTCTGACTGTCCTGTGAACTGGAGGGTTTTCTTACCCTGAGCAGCCAGCAAAGTGAAGGACTTGCCAACATGAATGTTTCAGAAACCTGCAGCCTGATTTAAAATTATCCCGAGGTAATTAAAAATTAACAGACATTGTGACAAAGATTGATGTTCTTCCAGGCTTCCCTCTGAAATCTTTATGTCCAGTGATTCTGTACTTGATTCCAAATTGCCTCAGAATGGTAAAGAACAGGATAAATCACAGCTGTCACTTAATAGAAACCTTAAAACAGCTCTTCTTAGCAACCAGTCCTTCTGTTCTACTGCAGTTAAAAGTGATTTTTATTTACACCACTGCCTAAGGTGAGTTCCAAGCAGACAGGATATTTGCCCATTCCCTGTTTCAATAAAGATGACTCCATTTTCAACCTGATGCCTATGTTAATTTATTATGACACCGAAAAAAAACTAAAACCAAACTCTGATTTCAAAGAAGAAAACTGCAGCAAGACAAGGACAAACAGAAACAGGGATTGTTTTCTGTACAAGTGCCCACAGTTTTTGTTTTTCAAGGGAGGGAGGAGCTATGTGGCCCTGTTCCCRTTTAATCACTCCAGTAGGAGCCAGTAGGAGCCAGCAACAGCCACATTCCAGTTACAGTTCTGACATGGCCACCTTCCTTGTTTTGTCTAGTTATCCTGCAAGCTCACTGAGGCATGGGAGAGCATTTAGCAKCAGCCAGTAAAATGGAGCTCCCGGTTTAGTGTGGGCCTTTAAGGGATCCAGTAGAATTTAGAGTGAAAAAACAACAGCAGCAACAACATAAAAAAGCTCAAAGCCAGCTTAAGTTGAATGAGAAAATTTAAAAATTCAAGGATGCAAGAGAAAAGTGAGGAGGAATTCAAGGTGCAAGCCTTCAGCCCCCCCGCCCCCGCAGTGTATATGTATCCAACCCGARGATGGTATTTTTTGCTCCTGCAGCTCCTTCCCTCTCCACACACAAACAGCCTGATCCTTCCTCCACTCCGTTTGTCCACTCTGCACCCATGGTCCAGCARCCACCTCCAGCGTGCCCCAGAGCAGCTGGGAACATTCCTCTCGGTGCTCCCGTAGTTCTGTGCTCAGGCCCTTCAGCAAAGGCAGAAGCCTGAAGTTCACTCCATGAAGATGCATCCTCACAGGCACTGGCAGTTTTAGCTGCCAGGCAGAAACAAGTCCCTAGCTAGCAAATGTGAGCTATGATTCAAAAGGCTTAAAATTGGACAAAGCTGGGTGGATTTTGACAGGAAGGACACCCCCTCCCCATTCCCCAGCCCCATCTCAAAGACAGAAGCCCACCTCCTTAATTCCTATCTCACTGTGGGGATGCTCAGGTATTTCAAAGGAGAGGCCATAAAAATTTCTAATGTGAGTGAAGTGACGTGTTTTTCTTGGTCTTGGCCTTGGAGCTTGCATAACCATTTTGACCAGTTTCCCAAGAAATGCTTGGCCTGAATTGAATCTAGCATGAATCTAGCAATGGAAAATACTAAGTGTTCTTAATGAAAGTGTAATAAGTTGGAGTAATGATACAGAGACCAGTTTTGACTTAGATTGCCCTAAATTCTTCAAGAGACAAACAACTATCAAATTGGCACTACCACCTGTGTGTGCACTAGCAGCTAACTGATAATCTCAGGAATTCTTCAACACAAACRCCACACATGTTGCACCTCTGACATCCAAAATAATTGGCAGGWTGGGTGCCCTGACCACTGCACTTCAGCTGATCTGCAGAGACACCATTTCATCTTTGCTGAGGGTACCTGCTTCTGTGTGTCCTGCCCTACAGTCACACACACCACTCCAACCATGATGTTCAGTGATTTCTCCCACTTGCCCACTACCGTATTTCAATTTGGTTTCCTGTTAACTTGGCAATGTTGGCACCGACCCAGGAACAATGTAAGCAAAATTAGGTTCTTCACAAACAGGCAAGTGTGGACCAATCGTGTCCAAGGAACACTGCTTTTCCAAGAAGGCAGCACTCTTCTTAGTGTCAAACTTCAACATTTCTGTTAGCAAAGGTGACCTGTAACAAGCAAAACATGAAGACTCTTGAAAAATCACCAGTGAGAAGCACAAGCACTTAGCATTTCTGAGAATCAGGCTAAATTTACAACAGACTGAAGGTTTGGGCCTGGCACTAAAATAGGTCTTGCTATCCAGATGCAGTATTAGTCTTTTGTAAAGAATTTGTACTGTTTTTATCCAATTTCCATTCTTAACTACGGCCCACAGTGAATTTTTTCAAACTCCCCCAACTTTTTTCTGCCAGGCACTCCGAAACAGATTATTAAATTCATATTCCAAATATTTCTCCAATATTACAACTGCTTTTCCCCTTTGAAGTTAATTCTCTTCTCAAGGTAAAGGAAAAAAAAAAGTGTTTATAAAGATTGGATTTGAATTGTTTCTCCAAAGTCTTGCACARCAAGATTAGGGTACTTGCAGGCTATGGGAATGCTGCMTGGCTGTGGGGATCTGATAGTGATATCCAAGACCACTGGTAATAATGATCTCTGTTCTCACCTACAGGAGCACAGAAGTGTTATCTCCAGRTATCTTTGCTGAGCTTTGCATAACAGCATTACCTGACGGAGCCTGACAGTCAGAAAACAAGACTGTCAAAATTACAAGAAACAATTACATTTACTTTTTCTTCCCCTAGCTGCCTCAGTCCTGCAGCTCTGACAAGTACCAGTGACAATAAGAAACTTGTTTTTGTCACCAAAGCAGGCAAGTACTGTGCTGAGGCCACTCAAGAACTAGCCTGGTGACTCATGCTGGTGACTCAGGACCGGTTATTCCCACRGAGTTAACTCTCAGTAGAACACAAATCTCACCTATAACTCAAATTCTGGATAAAGTTTTTAATTTACCTGCTAAGATATTTTTAAGCTTGGCTTGACAAACCACTCAGGACCCSAACTTTAGTTCAAGGTCGGTGGCCTTTTGGGCTGGCTCTTCACATCCTGCTGGCCACAYGCCTTGCAGCAGGACTGCACTCACACCAGTTAAACCAAACTAAAGACAACATGAGTATTCCATACTTGTGTTAACTTTCCACTGAGGGCAGGTATATAGAGGCACTGTTTCTCCAATCCCACCCTCAGACTGGTAAACTGCTGAGCTTTTGTTTTTGTCCAAAATCCCCCCACCCTCCTCAATATCYATAARGGAAGTGTCTCYATYACCTGTGTTAACAGGGCCCCCAAATTCCWTTCTGCCTCTGAACACCTACAACCGATGAGTCTCTCGTGCAGGTCTTGGTGCACTGGGTGAAAAAGCCATCATGCTCCATCACTCCCATTACCACTTGTCATCCAACTGYTTACATAAGCCTGTGACTTCTGAAATGAAAACATTTGCTTGCACTTCAGTAGAGCTTGTTGGTTAGAAGAGAATTTGGAGAAGGAAATGATTGAAAAAACAGTCACAGAAAGCAMGCTTCCAGAATATGCCTTTTTGGTTTTCCTTTCAACTTTGCTATTTCCTCTAGTCAACCACTGCTTCTCCATCAAACGAAAAAGTTTCAACCAGCCAAATCAATTTGTTTAACRTTTTCACATATCCTCCACCACACAGGACTTCTATACCACATGCAGTCACCTAAAGATTTGCTAAGCACAGATCAAGAGGATGTAAGTAACTGCAAATAAATTTCATATTATGTTGTGCACATTAATTTAAATTTCCTACTAAATGTATAAATAGGTCTAGAGAACCTGGTATTTCTAATGTGCCAATTATCTTTGTACTGTGGTACCCCACTCGTTATCAAAAATAGCTTCACTTCAGGCTGAAAAAGTAATTTTCTTCTCGTATGTGGCTTTCTCAAATGGGTTTATTTTCACTTGCAGTAGAAGGGATGTTTTAATCAGCCTTCAGTGAGGTTTTTGGAAAAGACATTCTGTACACAGGCAGCACCCCCAGAGGTGGCCTGCTCATATTAGACCATGAGCATTTCTCTGGATCCATGGGAGTGTTTAGGCTGGTGAGCACAGACAAGCACTTTGCAAAGTGACAAAGTAAGCTCAGCTGGATGAGCTGGGCCAGGAAAAACCTACATTCTATCCTGACTCTAATTTTGATGCAAGGAGGTTTGTAGGCTCAACCATTCACACAAGCGTTCCTGATAGCAGAGACTGTAAAAATTGTTTTGCAGGTCTGAAATTCCTCAACCTTCCTCTCCAAAACAGAAATTTGAAGGAACCACTTTGTAACCACAGGGGTACAGAGGATCCTTACCACAGATGGGACATATCAGTTAGGCTTTTCTCTGGGGAGGAGAGCTTAACACTCTGGCCTACTCACTCTCCATCCAAATGATCCATCCTTGACATGCCACAGAGACAGGCACGGAAGTGTCCTCTGATAAGAAAGACAAAATCAGTGTAAACCTCAAGAGAGCAGTATGAAATGAGAATGTCTTTCTCAAAATAGTACTTACCTCTCTAAGAAGGTGTGATCTGAAAAATATTTCTTTTCCCCATCATTTTCCCTTCCCTTCCTCACTGCTTCCTGCTCAGGACATTGCCTGTGCAGTGTCCTTACCACAAAAGTAGCACATGCCAGAGACTTGGCTACTAAATTTGGGGGTTGTGGTACTAAATATTAGTAGAGGCCAAAGGTTCAGAAATAAATCCAAGTCACAGAGCTCAATTCTAAAATCTCTGAATGCTCAAAAGATCATTTCTGAGAGGAACACATACCTGGGTCCACAGCTTCATCCAACAATAGGATTAGGTTCTCCTTTTTGATCAATCTTTTTAAAAAAAAAAAATAGCAACATCCGAAAAAAATGCGGGGGACATTACAATATTTTGTGACAGTTTGGGACGGCTTGTGAATCATCCACCAACTATAACTGGAATGCAATACAAGCCATTGTAATGCTTTTCGAAGAAAGTGCACATTGCTATCTTGCGACAACCATATGTTCTGCTGTTTGTATGTATCTGTTATCCAACACTTACATAAGCCGTTGATGAAATTATCATCACGGGACAAGCACACTTGTAGCACAGTTGAGTTGATCACAATAAAGTAATGAACAAATTAAGGAGCTTTGTGCTGACGTGGGACTGGCCTCCCACCTTCCCAAGCCACAGCTGCAGAAGGAGGCAGAGCGCAGACCTGTAGTCAGCTTCTGAATAGCCATCACTTTGGGGACGACACGAATAGAGACATTGGGCTATTTGGGAAAGGACAAAATAAATGTGCTTTCTCTGGTGCAGGGGAGAGGGAAGGGTTGGGAAGGGAGTTGAGGGAAAGGCTGGGGAAGAGGTTGCTTCAATGGTTGGGGGAACCCATGAGATGTTACTTGTACACACAGAGGCACTCGCCTCGGATTGCAGCAGGGGCAGTAGGGGCCGGGATAGCCCAGGCTTTGCACCGCGGAACGCACCGTCGGCATCCAAGCGCATCCCGGGGAGCTGAATCCCGTCCCCGACTCTCCTCCGGGCCCGTCGGGCACCGTCAGCGCCTGTCCCGGGCACCAACCCCCAGCCGGGAACACCAGCGGGCAGCGCCGGGTCGCTTGGCACGGCACRGCAMGGCACGGCACGGCACGGCACGGCACGGCACATCTGCATCCCGGTGCCGCTGCCAGGGCTGCTCCCGGTGCCGCAGACGGGCCGGACCGAGCCGCAACCCTGCGTCCGGCGCGGTCTGTGCGGGGCTCCGAGTGCCATGTGCCTTGTACTACGGGCACAGACTCCACCTTCCCCGGCTCCCGCCCGCCCCCACGCATCCAGGAAGGGAAAAAGAGGAGGAGGAGGAGGAGGAGGAGGAGGGAAGGGGGTGAAAGGGAAAAAAAAGAGAGAGAGGTTGAAAGGAGGGAGCTCGCTGAGACCCACCCTTCTCCCTCCTCCTCCGGGCTGCTGGCCGGGCTTTTGTTTTCCTCCAGCGCCCCGTTTCCCACACGTGATTGCCGTGTTATTGCACAGGGCGCTCGGCGGCGCGGCTGCTGCACCTATAAATACGGAGCGGGCGGGCAGCGGGAGCTCCGGGCAGCGCGGCGCGGCCGGGCGGAGCGCACCCCCCGCCACCCCCATGCACCCCAGAGGCACCGCGGCGCCCATGCCCCGCCGCCCGCCCGCCTGACGGGCCGGCAGCGAGAGGCAGCGCCCGGCCAGCGGCGAGGAAGGGGGAGCCGGCCGACAATGGCGGCGGCCGCCACCGCCGCCAGCCCCGGCAGTCCCGCCGCCGGGCCCCTGCCG